AGATAGATATGGACACAGACTGCAACTTTTGGGCACTTACGATCCATATACAGCACCCGGTGCTGTATTTCTGCCATTAAAAACCGCTAGGTCCCTGCCGCCGCTCGGCTTGACTGCGGTAATGTTTACTTTTACCTTCTGGGGAATCTCTCACCTAACCCAGCCCAGGATTGTCTCCTCCTCGATTAGTGCATCTGAAAGCACAACTACCATCCAGCATTTTGGCAACGCTAAAGTAACAAACTCAAAGTAACAGTATGTCACTTGCTTCCTGGTTGGCAGGCAGCGGAATATAACGTCTTTTTTGCCCTCCAAGGGAGCGTATTTATTGGAATGTGACATCACGTGAAAACTATCAATATAGGGCTGGAAATGTCATATAATAGGTCTCCTTTAACATTTCTTGTTGTAAGCTATTGAGAACATTTTTAATAAATACTTTCAAAAAGTGGTGGGGACAAAATCAGCCATTTTAAAAAGTGGTGGGGACATGAAGCCCCAGTGTAAACAACACCGATGCCGACACGTTTTTATACTGTTGACTTCAGCCTAGATTACATGTAGCCCACTGTGCTGCCTCTGGTCTCCATACATTGCAAAGCTCGTGCCAGAGTGGAGTGGGTAGATAACCAACCAACCGACGACCCAGCTCCATCAAATATTTTCTCATCGGATCTGCAAAAATCCCGTAGGTGACCCATTTTGGTTTCAAAACAGCGAATTTTGCCGAAAGGAGACGAGTTTGCATGCCTGGGAACTGCAGTTCTTGGTACTTCCTGCTGGATCTAAATCCGTGTTGTGACTGTCATTCCTACATCCCTCATCATGACCTCCACCCACATCCTTCTGAACTTCAGCATTAGGATGATGGTTTTGAAAATACATTTCTGTTCAAAGGTCTCAGAGAGAGGAAAAAAACCTTTATTCCCACTCACTACGACTCATTTCAGTCTGAAAGCTTCCAAACTTCACGCACATCAATTATTTCAGTTGTTAATTCACCTCAGAATACGACCTTTACTGTCTCTTCATCCAATAAACGTTCACCTCTCCTGGTTTTCATTTTACAGACTTCACCCTCTCTCTGAATCCACTTGGCTACGTTAAACCTGGAAACCCAAAACCGATTTCCATAACTTCCCAGACCTGCAATAACCCCCAAACCCAGGAACTGCCTTTTAAAAACGTATGGCACCGCCAACAGCCATGGATCATTCATCAGTTTACTTTACCATTAAAAATACATATCAATTAAAGTTCTCTTCTTAACTGTTAGAAATAGAAAATAGGCAACCTGAATTCAGTTTTCTGAAATTACAATTTTGGACTTTTTATTTTATTTTCTCCCCAAATTTTAAATGTTTCAGACAATAAGACAGCTGTTTAAAATGACTGATATAAATATAATAAAAATATTCTGACTTCAATTCTGACTTCTGCTGTTATAAACAAATCAATTTAATAAATAAAGTTGGGAAAGATAATCTCGCCACTGGTTGCATGTGTCCAAAAAACAAAAAGTGTTTTTAGTTTTTCTTGTTTTATTTGAATAATTTTTAAATATATATTTCTATATATAATGTTTCATGATAATATTTAATAAACAATTTTCTTTTTTTCCCTCTCAATCCTGTTAATTATCGTGAGGCCCTTAATGGGGGTCCGGCCCCACAGGTTGGGGAACCCAGCTGTACTGGGTGGGCGTCAGGAGAAACGGAAACTGATGATTTAATTCTTTTACCCCCAAACAGTCCAAAGGCAGTAAAAAAAAGAAAAAGAAAAGACATTGATAAAAAAATGACTTCTGTTTTCCAGTTTTCTATTGTTGGTTATTGAAGGGACAGAAAAACAAGATCCCAAACTCTCATTAACTCTTAAACTGTGAAAACAATCAATAAGTGGCCCTGATTGACAACAATACTTCTAAATGGGGGAGTGGGGGTTAGAGGAGGGGTGGGGTGGGGGCACAAGACAACATTTGAAAACAACACACTGTAAAAGCTCACACAAGACACATGCAGCTAATTTCATTATTCACAAGCTCTTGTTCAAAAACTCTCCGACTTCAAGCTTCAAACTTCTACACGCTGTTTTTTCTTCTTCTCTCATCTTAAATATATTGTTATTTATTTTGTTTTAAAGATATTCTGTTATCTGAGAAATTATATACATACAGATTTAGACCACTTTGGATTAAAAAATAAAAACTTCTTTATATAGTCAGAATAATATTAATAATATGATTTTTTTTTACCTTTTTGTTACATAAAAATACATTGCTATGCTCCGGTCCCCCGGGGAGGGGGTTGAAAACACAGGTGCAGCAAGTGCAGGTAGAGAGGGAGCAGGGCTAAGGGCTGTCAATCACAGTGACTGGGGTTAAAGGGCAATTCCGCTGACAGACAAAAAGTTTTTTCTTTATTTTGTAGAGATTTCATTAAAGAGGACTTAAAGTTAAAGTCTGATGGCGACACAGGAAGTGACTTAACACCACCTTGCTGCAGTGATGCACAGGTGTACCTCAAGACACCGTGACGTTACTGCTTGGTGCAACCAAGGTGACCTGCAATTGAGGATTATTCAGATTACAGATTAATCTGCCAATTACTTTATCCATTTCATGCTCGGTCGATAAATTGTCCAAAAACAGTGAGAAATGTTTCGTTACGGCCCCGAAACGATTCACTTGTAAAGTGAATGATTATGTGATCAGAAGATTTAGAGAAGCAAAACATTTGTGAAGCAAGAACAAATAAATGTGCAAGAAAAAAAAATGTAATCAATTATCAGAATAGTTGCAAGTTCATATTCTGTTCATTAACGAATCCTCTTGTGCAAGCATTCTTAGATCTAGAGCGGAAACAAGAAGTCGACTGACCTGAAAATGACTCTGCGACTATTTTGATATTCGATCAATCCTTCCAGATGTTTCAAAACATCATCTCGTACTCTGAGACATGACATTTTTCTCTATTTTAATCATTAATCAAATACTTTGGAACATAACTGGCAGATTAATTGATAAGAACCACTAGTTGCAGCCCTAGATAGCACATCTGTGCACACAAGTTATTTAGCCTTTGGGACTTTTTGGGGGAATTGCCCTTTAAAAACTTGACCTGAAAAGGGCGATAAAGCTCAAGCCTGAGGGGTGATTGTGGCCGTCGTACAAACATTTCAGTGGGGGAAAGATGCAGAATCGTGAACTCAGGGTTCCTACACAAATCAACATCTAGACTGGATTTGAAGACGACTCACTGAAAGAAGCCTCTGTGTGATTTCTGTTTCCTGAGGTGTATAGAAACCCTGCGTCCCATCTGATACTGATCCGTTCCTCACTCTCTCGCGACAACAACACATTCAGTTTCATCATTAAATGCATAATTTTTCTATTTAAAAATAAAGCTGATCCACATCTGACAACAAGCAAGTGCATCCGATCGGCGCGTTCGTCTTTTTACCGAGGCCGTTAACTTTTCTCTGATAGAGGGGATGTGGACGAGACTAAAAGTGACGGCAGCAGGCACACAAGGCTGAAACACACTGAACCACAGTTTCGGATCAGAAACGAGGCTGCAAAGGTACAAGCGCTTGTCTTAGCGTTTTTGTGACGCAGAGAGATTTGGGAAACTAGGCTAAACACATCCTGGAGGGTTTACCAAAAAATGTCAGAGGTACTTAAAAATAAAAGCATACCTCTTACTGCACACACAGTCATACGTTGGCAGCGTGTTTCAGACTTCACTCTGCGGCTCATTGAAATAAACTCTCTGAGAAAGTTTTAACAGTGATACTTGTCTAGCTGGCAGCGATGTGGAAACTATAAGATGATTAACTGATTATCTGTGATCAGATAGGAGGCTTATTTTGCTGAATGCTGCAAATGTTAGTTTGAGAGTTCTGAGAGGTTCAAGTTTGGGAAGATGTGAGAGACGTCAAAAGAAAATACAATTTTGTGTAAGTAAAAATGTTTGTTCTTCTATGATGTTTTGTTTTTCATCTTACAATTCCTTTAAAACCGCTGACCTACAGATAAAATTTACCAAATGCAGCTTTGGATTTTCTTTTTTACAGTCTCTCCACAGAAATGTTTTAGAAACAATTGCTTTTCAAAGACAAAACCATATTAGCTAATATTATTGTGACTCCAAAAAGTAATGAGTAAGTCGATTTGAAGAAAGCGTCCTATGTGATCACAGGATTATTTAAGCAGTTTAAAGCGGTTTTAATTAGACACTTTAAATGATGGGCTGACATTATGATTACTTTTAAGCAAGTCTTGAAAAGAAGCAGCATATTTAGGGGGGTTTTAAGCACTGTTCACACTCCTGAGAGGGCTTTATCCCAAACCTTTAACCTGCTTTTCATGTAATAACTATAATTTCTTTTGATTTATACATCTGAGTACGGACCAGTTCTTCTGAGGAGAATCTCTGTGACTGCCCACTTTTTAAAAATATAAAAAGCTCTAAATCATGGCTAGGTTCCTGTCAAAGTGGATGATAGGAGTGTTGGCCTCTCACTGGTGGTTATTTCCTAACCTAATGACATTTCCAAACCAATAAACACGTTGTTTTTCCTGTGGAGCGAGGACCAACATGGCCGCCGGATGGATCAGAAAACAGTCAGAAAGCTCAGCGAGGGTCCACATGTTTTGGGATGCATAATGCTTTTTCAAGACTTTCCAAGCGTTGCTGGTTTTTACAGACGGTTTTCTTACACAAAGCCGACTTCAGGTGGGCGGTTTATTCCTGCGTGTTTGCATTTGCGCAAGTGCATTTTTCATTAGCATGCAGGTAAGACTCGTACAAGCTAATGCCGAAAAAAAGAAGCATCTTGGTTTTTTTCTTGACTTCAAGCATTGCAAGAGCGTTTTCAAGTTAAGTGCCTTAGACGGAAAACTCCCCCCTCTCGTTTAGTTTAATCCGACAGGAATCTCAGGTCCTTCTCACAAAGACTTCCTTGCTGACATAAAAGAGGTTCCCAAGTTACTTCCAAACCTCGCTCTGCAGACCGTCTGGTTGGGGGAGCGACGCTGATCCCGGTTCTCTCCACTTCCGTCCGGGTGGCCGTTTCCCACCGAGCTCCTGGAGCAGGGATCACTTCAGACGGTCGGATCGGAAGGAGTCCTCCACGGCCGGGTCAGCGAGCATCAAGTCGCCGTCCAGCATGTCCAGAGACAGGGGGTCCATCCTGAGCGGGTCGTCCAGGGAGAAGGGATCCATCTCAAAGCCGGGGACGTGAGACAGAGCGCTGGCAATCTCTTTAGACAGACCCGGTGGGGAGTCACCTGCAGGGAGGTGAGGAGTGCGGACAAGTTAGACAAGGAAAACAGCATGACGTCTCAGGGCTATGCAAACAGGGTTGAAATCTGTTGTTATTGATGAAACTGAGGTTCATTTTTACGTTCTTCTGTTTATCGTCAGAATACATTAACAAGCGTTGACGTTCTCAGAGTTGCTTTTCAAAACGCAAACATGATTAATTCCAAATGATACGAAAAACTCTCGAGGGCACGTCCAATCTAACACAGTACGTTATGTCTGTGGCTCACTAGAGACCTATTATGCTTTTTCCTATTTTCTGGCATTTGTATAGTATTACAATGTCAGATGTTCCTGTTAAAGACTACGTTCAGACTGCAAGCCTTAATGCTCAATTAAGTTTTTTTTTTTGAGATCCAATTTTTTTTGTTTGACAGTTCACATCATTGCTTAAATGTGGCCCATATCAGAATCCAGTGAACTGTCCGCGGCCTGAAAGTGACCCGCATGCGTAGAAGAATAACACAACGTCCCAATCAGCAGCACGCTGTAAACACAGAGCAACAGAGGTTAGCTTTGGTTAGCTCACGGGAGACTCCTGTTTTTTTATTGTCTTCTCACGGGTCACATTTCTCCCGAATTATAATGATAAGTGTTCACAACCGAAAGCGAAAGTATCCCGGTGCACTGACGGCAGCACCGCAAATCCTGTTCGCTTTCTGTCTCCACACGAGCACGGCACATTATCAGCACGAGGACACGTAGTCCGTTAAAATGGATTTCTTCATCGCCTTCATGTTAAAAGTCATTTCTGCCCCGCTGCTGTCATGGTAACGTAACGTTACACCGTGTGTCATCTAACGTTCGGCCGTTTCACGTTTTCTGTTTATTTAATGGCCACGTACGGGCGAGCAAACAGTTAAATCTAACATTAAAGACGATCTGTGACTGTCTGCACAGTCTGTGAATGGTTTCAGTTGTTTTCTTTGCCCCACACTGATGTATTTGATTATTATACTGCATTACTCAATATTGAAATAAACCCATGTCACAAACATTTAAAGTTTGAAGTAGCCCATGATTGAATAAAACATTGATTTATTGATTAGACATGTTTTTGATATTTATTTTGGATAAATTGGTATGTTAATCGAGTAATAGGCAACGTTTTTCTCTTTAGAATACATAAAATTAGTCTTGAAAAATAATCGTTATGTCCAGCCCTAGTCACAAACTATTTCAAGCTTTGGACCTCATCTTAAACTGCATGATATTATGTTTTTATTTTTAAGTATGTAATTTTGATTAAACAACACAGTTGAGAAGGGGAACTCTGTCTTACAATGATGTCAGGTCTTTCTATGGAATTCGCAGATCCGCTTCGGCTAGTTTTCACTTCCCCAAACATCCTCTTTAACTGTTATCTTTTCATGTTTTTATCGGTTTCACTTCAACCTACTGTTTTACATTGCTTTAAAGGCCGTGATTAAGCCCCTCTGTGTTTCTTTTTGGTTTCCCCTTTAATTTCAAAAGTTTGCAAAAATAAAATGAACATTGAACAACATACTTTTTATGGTACCAAACAAAATGTCTGGTCACACTTAATCTTGTTGACTTTGACAACATTTGCCAGTTTTAGACTATTTTCTTGTACAGCAGCTTAATATTTAAGAACTTAACATGTTTATCATTGTTAAAATAAGGTTTGAAAAAAAGTCCTGTTTTGGTATTGGTACTGAAGCTCAGGTATCGTATCAGTACTAGTAAAGAAAGATTTCTAACAGTCTGAACTCTGACACACTGAACAAAAGCTGATTACCCACCAGTGAGGATGATGTTGGGCACGTTGTGTCGTCCCTCCCCGCAGCTGTAGTTCTGGTTCTGGTTGTTGAGGAGCTGCTGGTCCCCGGGGTCCTGCATGTCCAGGGGCCCCTGTGTGTTGGAGGGGAACTGGTTCTTGTCAGTGGTGCCGCTGCCCAGACCGCTGTGGTTCAGAGACATGCAGTCACCCTGGTTCTCTGCTGTGAACTGGAGCAGAAGAGCAGATCCAACGTTAAGGCAGGAAATAAATGTGGTTATGATGTGGATTTTCACTGAAGCTCTTGCGTACAGTCTGTCTGACACGTGCTGCGATACAAAAGTAAAGAATCACCCTAACACGAGGCTAATAATCAGATTTTCATCTTGGAATTTCCGTACATATTCCAAGTTGGCCTTGGGCTTATGTTAGATTTAGAAGAACAAGAATAAAAAGGCTCCGGTATTAGGCGTGATAGATTATCTGGTATGAGAGGGTCTAAATAACTTGAGGCAAACTAGAGCCAATTAAAGACCAATAAAGACCAAAGTAAACACAGACTGAACCACTATAAACTACACAAGAAGCTGTGAGAGCTCCTGTTAGGCCCCGCCTCTCCTCCAACTGAAAGTCCCTTCCTCCTCCCACATCGTACATTTTGCTTCTGGGACCACAGGAGCTGATGCTCAGATGAAGCCAGCATGTCCGATGAAACATTTGTAAAAATAAACAGCGTAAAAACCAGTGAGTAGGCAGGACTTTAACCTGTTGTGACCTTGTGTCTGCAATTCAAACAGTAGAGTAGGTGCTGCTCTTGTTCTTTCTGTGCATAAAACAAAATCCAGCTTCCATGCAGGAGTTTCACTGCTGTGTGTCGAGGGGAATCCAACTACATCCAGCTAGCAAAACACTCTCCTATCACAGTACAACACACGCAAGTCCCAAAAGCCATTTGTTTGGGACCAGCAGTTAGTATGCTGTCTGATAGCAACGCACCAGAACACCCCGCCACGCCTCGCAGGCTCACCAACACCTTTCTTTCAGTAGTGGAGTTCTTCCAAAAAGCTACCTAAAGGCCAATTTATACTTGATATACTTGATTTATACTTCAAATCTGCACCATAGTCTGAAGCGCACCCCCCGCAAAGTGTAACCATATGTTGCAGCGACACAGACCACTGTGAACTGTGATTGTTCGGCTTCGTAGCCTTGCATCTCCTGCAAGCCCCACAGGAAGTGCTCTGTGAACTGGAGCCAGTTTTACTAGCGGCCAAACCAGACATTTTCCCATTGAATTACATTGTGAGAAGAAGCTGCAAGAAAACGGTAAATAAATCCCTGCGAAATGACTTGTTTCACTATTAGTCTAAACCACGACAAAAGTAAGCCGGATAGGCTGCAGAACGCTATTACAGGGGAACATAGAAACCCCACCAGCAACTGGTGTTTGGCGGTGTAATTGCAGAGCGACGTAGACACCGACGCACAAATATAAATGATCACGATTGCTTGGCGTAGGCTACACACGTAGGCTACAGTGTAGACTCGACACAGAAGTATAAAATGGCCTTTAGGTGGCAACTGACACATCTTTTCTCATGTTTTTTTTTTAAAATCCAGGCTAATAAAAATGTTTGCTTTTATGTGACTTGAATGTGAAAAAAACTATGCTGGTGCAGAGACAAATGGGAATGACATGCAACAGGTCTGATTTGTTTCTAACAGTGATAAACAGCCCAAGTCACATAGATGTTTTCTAGTTCGGCCACTTTCGTTTGTGGTCCAAATCAGATACAGGTCGGATTTTTTGAAATGCGACCTCAGTCTGGACAGTCAGATCAGAGTTCATGTGACTCTGAAGTCACTCTACAGCTACTGTCGTCACAATTCTGCGTCACGTGCATGTCACTTCAGAGAGAGTTGTGGGGCTTATACGCACTGTAAAAATGGACAAAAAGTTGTGAACATCTGTCATAAATAGGGAGAAATACAGGAAACTGGGAGAGGGCAATGAAAAACAGGAGGGTTAGCTTTACTACGTTTACTTTTGTATGACAGCGTGCTGGGAAATAAATCGGATTTGACCATTAGGGTCTGCAGTGTGAGCATAGACTGGGATTCATGGCCGGCGCCTCGACCCCCTCGGCCACGAGATGCCCCCGTTTCATTTTAAAACAGCAACTAAAGACAAAATGAAACTGATATTGGTGGCCGGGCTCTTCCCTCAGCTGTAAAAACAAGCTACTGGGTTTCAAATGATCAGTTCAGACAGCAGTGGGTGACGTCATGCTCCCTGCAGCCAGTGTTATTTACAGTTTGTGATGACATCGGGTGAAGGTGCTCTGTTACCTGCTGGCTGGTTTTGCTTGTGAGCTGGAAATTCAGATAGGGGTCGTCCAGTAGGGAGTTCAACAAGGCGTCCTGGAAAACATCAAAAAGAAGTCTTGGTTACAGCCATGATAAGACGTGTTTCCCTCCTGTTCTCTCTTTTGGAATTTTGCTTTTATTGTTTATAGGTCTTTCAGTGCTGTCTCTCTATCCTCTTACAGGATGTTTTCTCTAACATGTAGCTAGTATGAAGCAAAAATGCCAACTAAATTTCAGATGAAACATACTTGAGCACTTAAATATTTTATATAGAGAGTTGTTAAATTCTTATAAGACCCTATGGGAGGAAGATCTGGGGGAGGTAATACCAGAGGAGGTTTGAACGTTTACACAAATCCTCTGTGCATGGTCTTACACATGACTTACTCTTTACTCAGAAGACTTTAACATTGAGTAAGACAGGGTCTTACTCAATGTTAAAGGTCCAGTGTGTAATATTTCTGAGGATCTATTGACAGAAATGCAATAACATTAGTTAGTTATGGAAACTATGTTTTCAGTGGTGTATAAAGATTACATAATGAACCATTTTGTTTTTATTACCTTAGAATGAGACATTTCTATCTACATATACCGCAGGTCCTCTTACATGGACGTCACCATGTTGCGCCACCATGTTGCGCCACCATGTTTCTACAGTAGCCCAAACGGACAAACTGCTCTACAGAGCGAGTTTCATCACTACAGTGAATATGGTTGAAGAGAAAGCAGAAGTAGTAGTTTTAGTAGTTGTAGAAAAAGTAGTAGTAGTAGTTGTAAAAAAAAAAAGTAGTACTAGTAGAAAAAAGTAGTAGTAGTATTGTAAAAAAAAAAAGGTAGTAGTAGTATTAGTAGTGGTCGTCTGGTTTAAAAAAGTAAGAAGACTGTAGCTTCTCCTGCGCACTTGCAAAGGGAGTGGTGAGCGGTAACTGATGGTGCATTCATATGGTGTCGGAATAATTATATTTTTTGATGTATAAAACCTCGGACATAAATGGGGGAACGGTTGCCTTCCACCTCTACACCCAAAAAGGATGCGTTTTATCACATTACTGGCTAGAACATTACTATTGACCAACTGGAAATCTGCAGCACTTCCATCGTATACTTTCATTAAGAGCTTCTTAAAAAAATATGGGGTCCGTTTTTTCAATTTATTAAAGAGGATAAATTTCCCACTTACTCCTGATTGAGGCGTTAGTGGTTGAGAGAGGCTGAGGTGGGTTGGTTGTCAATGATTCGCTGCAGCACTGATCATCTTTTAGTTTCTGTTATGGACACTGTTTACTGTCAGCTGGTCCGTTTTTGGTTTCTTCTTCTTCTCGTCTCTTCTCTTCTTTTTCTATCTGTTCTTGCATTTTTATGTTCATTTGGTCGTCTCTGTCATAAGTTGTTATGCACTATGTACACTGACCCTGTTATCTCTTTGTATTAAATTCAAGTATATAATCTCACTTTTTATAATGCTCTGATGACTTGTATGCCTTTGTAAAACCCAATAAACATGATTGATATTTTCACTCTGGGCGATTCAGCAGTACGTGAAATCCTCTGTGTGGCCACTAACTGAGTTTTATCTGCATTTTGTTTTATTTAGTAAGTAAGACCAAGTAAAGTGATTTCAGTTTCACTCTGCCGAGCCCTTCTCTCTCACCCTATGGCTTCATTTTCAACGGAGTTATTGAGGCTTTAATTGGTGTTTTGGGAGGATTAACCGAGATAGTTAGATTGCACCTGAACCAATACATGCATGTCATGACAAGTCAACCAACAAACATCTTGTAAAGGGATATCGTCTTTCATAAACTACCTTTCCAGAGTTCACACAGATGAGGTGGGAAATATATTCTATCAAATCACCCTGCAATGTGTGTTGACCCACAAAAGATTGAAGACTTCTAAGCAGTATAAATCACGTTTTGTCTGAAGAACAGTCTAATCTCTATGTTTAAACAACTTGTGTAGCAACATGCTTTTTTAATTCCAGGTAAATCTCTGATGTCTGCAGAAGCCAAGATGCCTCCTGGTGAGTGTTGGCTGAATGGATGATATCTCAGTCTCTCACTACACAATAACTTCCACTCAGCGGACCTGCAGATGTAGCATCAGGTGCTGTTACCCTTTCATTTCACCTCAACATTACATCACACACACAGTGTGACACCTACACCTCTGATCCCGAGACATGACATCGATCGGACAAGTGCATACTTTCAAATTAGCGCCCCGTCTTTAAAATGAATCCTTTAATACGAAGCAGTGAAACTCTAGGAGAAGATTAAGCTAAACCAGCAGGAGGATGCGCTCATGTTACTAAGTGGCACCCACAAACACATAATTGTGTAATGGTCTATACATGTGTATGACCATCTACCACAACATCAATACGTTTGAGACAAACACATCAACAATAAATGCAGGACCGATAATCAGAAATGAATGTGTCTGACTGGTCTGTTGAGCACGGCCAAATAAAGATGATTCAATCAGCTAACCCAACACGACATTACCACTTACTAAAGATAGTGCAAAGTCATCTGCAAATTACTTGTTTTTGTAAGAGACCAAAACAGATTAAAGTTATGAAGTTTAGTTGGTTGTTGTTGTTGAATCTGGAGTCAAACACCCAGAAGCTCTAGAACATACACCTTGATGTTTACCTGTGATGAGGCGTCCTTTGTTAAGATAGTGTTTTCTGACCTCTGTGTTCCCTCACAGTTGGCCAAACGGAGACTGCATGTTTGATATTAATAAAGTACCAAAGATCCAACATCTGGAAGACAGCGACAAGTGCATCTGCAGAGACTGCTCCACCTCAACTGGTCAGATAGAAAAGTGTCGTGTGTGGAAACAGGGTGAAGGGAAATTTTGCTACCGTTTCCTTCAACAGCTCCGTATAAAAGCCTCGATTTCTCACAGTGTTGGAATCTGTTGGAGAGCTAATTCAGGCAGACGTTTCATAGTTTTGATCAACTCTAAATCACCAAAGATGACGATGCAGTTTGCAGCTCTAAGAACGCTCATGTACTGTAGGAGGAGTTAGGGTCCGTCTGAAAAGTGCAATACGATCCATTTCATTTCAATTCATTTATAAAAATCTTAAACCACTGCCTGTATAAATATAAACATCATTAAACATTTCACACATGAGAGATGTTAAGAAAATTTATGAAAATGTATTAAATTTTCTGGTATCAGTCTCGACTACTATATTTCTGGTATTGTGACAGCACTACATAAAAAAAGGAGGGCAGTGATGGTGTGGGCATGTTCCTATGGGTATCGATTAAATTAATCATAGACCAGTCGGCCGATTAATCGGGCCGATACCTGCACTCACAACGCAGATAAACAGGAGGTTTCTGCAGACACATCTGCAGCAGCCTTGTCAGTGAGCTGCTGGTGAACGATGTTGGTGCTCCCAATTGTGAATTTTGGGAAGGTGGTAAAAAAAGTTGGTTTGGAGCCCTAAATGTCCTCTGTCACTGGTGTCTTTTCTAAATGTGACATGTTTCTCCTGAATGACAGCAGCTCTAATCTAACAGCATTACTGGCTAGTGTTTAAATATAATGCGGTTGAATGACATCTGACAAACTGAACCCCGCTCTCCCTTAAACACCAGGCACGCTCTGAAATCTACAGCAGAACCCAAAGTATGTTTCTGTTTCATTCATTAATAAAGCTTCTATCTGACACAACACATTACTGCTGAGATAACATGTCTGTCAGATTATACACTCTGCATTGAATAATGGGATTATCCAGGACTTCTCTGGGTTTTGATATCGGCATTTTATATCGGCCATCTGCAGCCTTTTCTTCAAATATCAACATCAGCCATTGAAAAACCCCTATTGGTCAACCACTAGATTAATACAACTCATGAAGGCCGATGCCGATATTAAATTTAAAAAGAGCTGATTCATGAGCCGATATTTAGATTTTGAAAATTATTTGAATAGTAGATCCATTTCCTGTATAGACGACACTTAAAAAATGGATTGTGTTAATAAAATAGATTACTGTCTCAACAACTTAACATGCAAACAACTGCACATCAATAAATATTTTCTGCTAGAAAAAGAAGCTTTTTCAGCCATTTGTAAACAGAAAGATAATAAACGTGTATTCCATTCACATGTTGGTGTGTGTGTATATGCTTGTGTTGAAAAGTGGTGAGAAAATAAGGGTTCATATATTGTAAAACTATTAAGAATTAGTTACTTTTTTTGGATAATGCGCATTTGTTTCTTCTATATTGAAATTGCATTGCATGTGTTCTTATTGTGCAAATAAACCTTTTCTCAAAGCATTTTCTTCTGTTAGTTAATATTTCTTGTTGCTATTCTTTAGGACATTTAAATGCCTTTAAAAAGTGGTGGGGAGATTCTGATTCTTACATGTCCCGCAGTATAAATGGCATCGATGGCTGTCAACCTTTTTTAATGTTCCGCCAAATCCAGGCTGATGAGAGCTACTTTCTGCACACGGCTGCATGACAGGCACCTGAGCTTCTCTCTCCTGTGTCTCCACCAACAGAGATTAGCAGGCAGATGAGAACAGAAACAGGTGAGCGTCACATAGAGCCCAGAGACCCTGATATGGAGGGCAGGGAGGAGGACCGGCAGCTTGTGAGAAGTGCCCACTTCAAGCACTGGTTCTAATATAAGAAATCATTTTAATGCTCTGGACAGTTATCATGGCGGCAATTATTTTACCCACCGTCATCCTCTAGTTTTTTTACAACGTTATGGTCTCACTGACATAAAATGAGGGAGTTGAATTCTCTCACATTATTAGATTATTAGATGATAAATCAACAATGCCGCCAAGATAAGAAGTCAGCCCACACCCAACCTCTCCTGCTACCTTCTGGACACAGGTACAGGTCCCTGAGGGGCAGTGGTTGGTATCTGCAGCCAAAGCAGCCCTGAACAAGGTGTCTCAATGAGGAGACCAAGAGCCCTGCCTTCACCTGTCCTGATATGGGAGGAGTAAAATGGTGTGTTATTGTTATGTTAATTTGTGCTCTGGCTGCACAATATATTGGTTCAGCATAGTCATCGCAATGTACCCATGCGCAATAGTCACATCACAGGACAGGCGATGTCAAGAAAATCAAATGAACTCAAACACCTCAACTTTTTTCGTTGCTTGAAGCAGGCCCTGTTAGTTGTTGACAACAACTTGAAAATAAGCCAAAGAGGACGAGAAAACCACCGAAACAGTGGACCGAAAAAGCAACTACTATATCCCCAATAATTCTATCTGGTGAAAATTCCTGTATTTTTTCATATCGCAATAAATATCGCAGAAAAAGAAAAATATTGCAATGGCAGTTTTTTCCAATATCGTGCAGCCCTAATGTGGTGCTGTACAGTGCTCATGATCTATCCTTCCGACGAACACTTGAGTCCTAATAAAGAAATCTGAACAACCATAAAAACCGGCCACATAACCGTGCGTTTTCTTTACAAGGACTTTCCTGCTCCTCAGATGATGAACCCTACTGATTTGGGTGACCTCCTGAACTTTCCTCCAGCTCCACCATCACAGCACACTTCCTCATGACCAACACTTTGCTTCTCGACAAGGTATCCTGAGCAGTAATTACCTGATGGACACCGATATTTGCTGTCGATGCTCCTGGCCCAACAGAGCATGAATTTCAGTTTGTTTGGTGACCCCGTTGACCTTTCCTATTAAATCACTATCAGGTTAAAATTCTCACTTTTTAATCAAAATCTAATGGGCAGGTTGCCATGAAAAGACTCTAGATTAGATAAATCATCAGTGTGTTGTTTGTCCTGTCCAACTCTTTCATGTTACGGCTGTAATAAATGCTGTAGCCTCTAGGGAGCACTATCAGGACTGTTGTTTTTTTACTGAGTGGAGCTGGGATGGTCAACAAGTGTGCATGTTTTTGTGGTGACTTACATTGTAGAAGTCGGTGGCCAGGTTGTGGCTGATTTGTTGGAGCTGAGGGAGGCCGTCGGCTCTCTGCTGCTCCGTTTCTGGTTTGACGTGACACTGAGAGGACGAGGAGCTCTGGACGCACTGATCCATCGCCCTCTCGTTCTTTATCAGCTGCGTGTTCGCCACGTTACCGTGCTGCCCCATCGGCCTTTGTTGCTGCTGAAAAACAAAAACAAAACACACACACAGTAATCGCTGTGTAAGCTGAACTGCACAGGTGAGCGTTATGTATTGTATGTTGAACAAATGCATCTATCTTTATCTAATCCATGTAATCTACTAATCTGGACAATCTCATCTCCTTTCATTTGACCCAGCAGGCCTACCGTTCCAAAGTGCTGCTGCATGTGCTGGTTGTGTGTGTTGCGTAGATTCTGCAGGTGGAGCTGCTGCATGGACTGCGACTGCTGCTGCTGCTGCTGCTGCTGTTGTTGCTGTTGCTGCTGTTGTTGCTGTTGTTGCTGTTGTTGCTGCTGCTGTTGTTGTTGCTGCTGCTGCTGCTGCTGATGTTGCTGCTGATGTTGCTGCTGCTGCTGAGCGTTGGGCCGCGGCTGCTGAAGGCGGAGCATCTGTTGTTGGTGGTGGTGCTGGCCGGGCTGTTGGCCGGGCTGGGAGCCGGGCAGACCGGGAAGAGGCTGGTGGGAGCCCGGCTGGTGTTGGTGGGACTGGCTGAGTGGGTAGGGAGGAAGCCTCTGGTCCAGAGGGAGTTTGCTGGTGTCCAGAGGGACGCCCTGTAGGGGGAAGGGATGGGGTTAGATGTTAGTGCCACTCTTCTGCTACATACTAGATTTCTTTTTGTCTGTGTTGGATTAGTTAGGGAGCCTTCACACTTTGCATATTTAGGGAAATACAATTTAAACTCTGGAGCATCTACATTTAAATGCCTGACAAAGAAAAAAAGATACATCATAAGCACAAATTCAATGTAAAATCCCAAAATTGTTCTGCCCGCTAGCAGAACTACGACTATTTTCAGCAGCCGAAAAATCTCTGACATCTTACAGCATCTTATTATATCGCCCAACAGGAGGTTAACAATTATCTTATCTGCAGTTTGAAATTGATTCTGTGGAATCGGCAGAAACACACCAAATTGATTTATATAGCACCTCAAAGGCTAGTCTGGATTGGCAAAAACTCCAAAAAGAGAGCAACAGAAGAGGAATTCTTTTTCCACAATGGACAGACATATGATAGACATCTTGTATTCAGAGATAACAGTAAAATTACAATACTCAGAAACAGAATGACAATGTTAAGTAGACACACTGCAACCATGTGTGAAAAATATGCATTCGGGAGGAACAAGATCAGAACCTCCTGGCAGAACTGTGTTATTGACTGAGTTCTTCTACTAAAATATTCAGTGTTGGGCAAGTTACTAAGCAGTTACTTTTCACTTATTACTCCTTAAAAACTTACTTATTCCTGGCTTTTAACAGTAAGTAGTTACGTTACTATATTACTTTCATGAGTCTTTGCCCCGCCCCTTCCTAAAAAGTGATGGACAGCCTGTTCAACAGCTCATTTTAAAAATTAATCCACTTTACTGGAACAATAATGAACCTGAGGAGTCAACAAACAGCCAAACTGAAAACACTTCAGCCTCTCAGACCAGATGATGCTACGCAGTATTTAACAAAATAAAAAACATTGCAAGTATATTATTATGTATATTATTATTATATTAGTATATTCATAAGGGCAGCAAGAAGTATGTTTTTACAAAAAATATAATGTCACTGGCTGAAATAAAAAAAGAAAGCAAGTCAATGCCTACTTTTGTTTTTCTGCACAAGCTTTTATAAGAGCAGTATTCAGTGTTTAACAGAACTTAAAACGTTACATTAACGCCACTCTCCCCCGACGAGTCCAAGCATCACTGGCAGCAACAGCCGGAGTATCACTCTAAAAGTTTCTCCTTGCTGTGCTCCTTTAGCAGATATTTCAATAAATTAGATGTAGAATTGTTCGCGGTTGTAAACTTTGTGAGACCAGCAACGACGACAATGTTCTTTGCATCTTAGACTCTGACACAGTAATGGTAAAACTTCCAGCTGTGGAAAGAAAGCCCCTTTCCCTCAGTCTCCATTCTTCCTTTAGCTTTTTGGCTAACAGCTGATCTGAACAACATAAGGTCTGGCTCCTTGACTTCCACTGCCCCTGACCTGCCACACAGTCGCACATACACGTCAAGGACAACAAAACAAGTTGTGTTCTGGTAACGCAGTAATGCAGCGTTACGTGGATTAATAACTGCAATATTATTACTGCTTTGGAAACAGTAATCCGTTACGCTACACGTTACTAGAAAAACTAATATTATTACAGTACAGACCAACACTGGTCTTGAGTGAATTTTATATACTAAAAGGTTTAAATAAAGTTCCAGACAGATTCAAGGGAGAAAACACATCTGGCATGACCTAGCCTGCCCCCGCTGTGGTATTTACACAGGATGCTCTGACACTGACTCTATGATAAGCTAAAAATGTCTCTCTCAACTTTATAAACAGACATGTGACTTTGTGAGCTTAACAGGCCTGCAGTGTTTGTACTGATGGGGATTAATGTGTAGTTGTTACCTGTGTGATGGAGGACAGGGTGGGGGAGATGGTCGGGGAGAACTGTTTGGAGTGGTGCCTCCGTGACTCCCCTCCCATGGGCAGGATGAGCGGGGAGAGCTGTGCTCGCCTCCGCGGCGACGTGCTGAGTGATGGCTGACCCTGTCCACTGAGCAGCGGCGAGTAGGAAGAGGAGCAGGAGCTGGATCCGCCCACGCCGCTGCTGTAGCTGGGGTTACTGCTGGACACCGACTGGAGGGAGGAGTTACTGAGTGAGGAGTGCAGTGACTGGCTGCTGAGGGAGGACTGCAGGGAGGGGGAGGAGCTGAGGGACGACTGCAGCGAGGGGTTGCTGAGCGACGAGTGCAGGGAGGCGGAGCTCAAAGAGTTGGAAAAGGAGTGGCTGCTGAGCGATGACTGGATGTTGGGGTTGCTTAGCGATGACTGCAGGGACGGGTTACTGAGCGTGCTCTGTAGAGATGCCAGGAGACCTGAGGAGGCAAAGCAAAACAAAAAACTATAAACACAACCGTACTCTCAACATCCACAGAGACAAAGACAGGGAGAGAAAACACAACAAAAGATCAAATAGTGAAGAAACCGAGGAAATAGTCAGAGATTGGATCCCCAAAACATTTTCTGATTTAGTTTTTAGTTATTAAAACAAGGTAATGTAAAGCAAAGAACCATTATAAATTACTTAAAGGGGAAGTCTGGCAGGTTATTATTGCACATCTATAAAGTTGGGGGACCAGTAACAGACAACATCAAAGCAGCAGACGCCAGAATATCCTGACTTTTTGTCCTATGACCATAGAATGTAAAAAAAGAAGTGGACATAATGTCATCTAACCATACGCGTAGGAGCCATTGGAGACATGCCCCCCCTACATTTCAAAATCTATGTTTTGTCCCCCCTCACTTTCACGGTGTAAACGTTTTTCCCCCCGCATGCGGTTTACTATGAGTGACTACTCAATCAATCACACACTCTACATCAAAAATAAGGGCCTAATTAAATGGTTAAAATGCAGACAGAAATCATGGATAGAAAACATGCGATACAACGCAAAGGTGGAGCTAAAATAAGTTGAGGGAGAAAAGTTGCTGGAGACAGGTGCAGCAAAGTTCCTCAAAATTACAGACTTTTCTTTTGTGCTGCTGTTAATTATACCTGAATACTACTGTATTCAGGTATAATACAGTGGCAGTGAGGAAGCCTGTAGCAGAGTTGGGTTGTAACTTGTTACAAGTAACGCAAATTTGCAAAATAAATAAATAATAAAATTGTAATTGTAATCTGCATTTTGCTTTTAGCTGTCATCCAGGCTGTGTGCACGCAGTTACGCAGAAGAGCGCCTGGTGTCGGCGATATATCACAGATATGAATGAGCTGGGCAGATGTAAACATTTAGAAAATCTTTCAGGCTTTAAGGATATTCTTGTAATAATACAACAGTGAGCCACACCATTGCACTGGTGGCCGTGTTGGAAAGCAGCCTGGATCGCTCTTTAAAAGGCCGGCTAGTGAAATACTTTCACTTTCCATAAACGGAGTATTGTCTGGACAGAGCAAATGTACACTTCACACTGTAACATCTAAGTCTGATGATCACTGGATTGATTCTGATATATTAACAGTATCCTGTTGTTGAAAAGAGAAATCGCTTTCTCCTGATTGACATTAGCCCGTTTCTTTTTGCTAATACACACTGGTTACTTTATAGCGATGTCCGACGGTGAGTCCATAAAAGAATGTCGCTGGTGAAACTAATCTTGGCTTTCACTCAGCAGCTACCAGCTGTTATTTATTCAGGAAACAATCATTTTTGGGAAAATATTGGTGGATACAACAGTCCTGTTGGGCTTTCCAAACGACGCACAGCTTCCTCTGTATGCAGGTTTACCCTGCTTCAACAACGAGTTACTCCCGTGTTGCTGCCACAATAATGATTTGCGTTGTAAAGATTATTTAGATGCTTTAGGAATTATCAGATTGTATTAGCTGCCTGTATTATTGCAAAGCAAGTGGTTCGGTTGGCTACATGTCCATAATAACAGATACAGGCAACAAACATAGGCTGGGCAGTAAGTGTGATATTTTAAAATGTTCTTATCAATAAGTTCATGTAGATTTTAAAAGGAAAATAATTATATTAAACAAAAATAGCTAAATTACAGATAATCAACCAGCAAAGCAAAAAGCATAGAAATAACCATGTTGGAAAGCGGCTGTTTCAAACTTGATGCACAGCAGATGAAATATATTATTAAATATATTATTCTTTTTTTCCTTTTACTTGAATATAGGAATTATTGTACTTTTTCTTGAGTAAAGATTTTGAGTACTGTACCTACCACTGGCCAGCAGCCCCAATACTAGCTCTGACATAGTGAACATGAGACAGAGAGCAGAGATGAGGACAACAAAGCCAGCACAGCCCTAAGCACCAGTTTATGGTAAAATTGTCTTATTTATTTATTTATTTATTGTACTCAAGGGCTCAGCTGAGGTGATTACTTTACTTTAGGAGAGTTAGAGAGGGGTTTCTAGTTTCGATAATGTATTTTAATGGCTTATTTGCATTCTTATAGTGATGTACTCAATTCTCAAGAATGCAGGAACAAAGATCTCTAAAGACCCAGAAGCCCCAATAAATGCTTTGTCTGGAGAGTGGACTGATCAGGGACAAAGTCCTGGGCCACTTTTTTGCCTCTGTATGAGAACATCTTTGACCTTAAAAACTTGTGACCACAGAACAGGGTGAGTCAGGGCCAAGTGAGACACAAGGAATATCACAGACAGCTCAAACGTGTAACGTGATGCTTTTATCCAAAGCGACTTACAATTGCTATTCATGTCAGAGGTAACACTAATAAGTACATTCTGTTTTCAAAAGTCATTGGAAATTAGCATTTAAGTGCTTTACTTAAATAAATAAAAAACAGGGGAGCATGCCACTGAACCACCGTAGCATTTCAGCGCCCCCCCTAGGTTCAAAGTCGTTCCTACGCCCCTGGAGTTAACGGCCGTGTGTGGAGTTTGTTAGCTTGTTTAGCTAGGTGCATATTTAATTCACGTTAACTGTCATTTTAACATGGCTGATAACTTTGTCTAGCGAACAACAGTCTTAAAACTAAATGTACTCATCAAAGAAAATGAACAGCCGACACCTAATAAGCTTTTTCAACGGCACTGGTTAAATTTACAGAATGCCGTGGGTACGAGTCAGATCGCCATGGTAACGGCTTGTCAGCAAACTCTGCTTTATACTTTATTTTCCTCTAAATAGGACCATAATTTACTAAATGAACATCATGCTGTGTTGAAGAAGACTTGAAACTAGCGACTGAGACCATAAACTCATTAGGAAAGTGTTTACTGAGGGAATAAATCAGCTGAGAATTTTATTTCTAATGGAGCCGGACTTCTTTTTGCAACCAGAAGAGTCGCCCCCTGCTGGCCGTTCAATAGAATGCAGGTTTAAGGGACTTCTGCGTTGGATTCACATCTCAGACAGGAAGCTTCCCACTTGCCTATTAGTGAAACCCCAAAAACAACTGGATGCTACACTTCCCATGACGCAACTCGTTATGGTTTAGACCCTAGAGCCCCTTTTCCACCGGATAGTACCAGCTCAACTCGCCTCGACTCTACTCGCCTTTTTTGGTTTCCAAAAGGTGACGTGAAATCACTGCAGACTGCTGACTGGTCAGGATAAAGCCACTAACCTGCCTGTCAGCTCGCTCTGGGCAGTTTCAGTGGATTTACCATAAAGGTTTGAATACATGTGCACTCCAAATTTAGGTGCGGCTAACTTAATCGCCTTCTCACAAACAGAGTGACAGAAACAATCAAAGCGGTTCTTTTCTAAGAAGTCAGCCACAGATGGCGTGGATGTGCTGGGAGACAAACGGCCATTTTTGTGTCTTTCTCAGACACTTTAAAATCCTTCCACAAAGCCAACATATCAACGTAATTGTTCGGTAAAATATAGCCGGTCTTTTGACTTATTAAGCCAAACACCGAAAGTGCTTTTTTATTTGCTATTTTTGCCCGATTAATTTTGGTGGCTGAACATTCGGTGTATCCCTAGAGAGCGCAAAATAATGCAAGGGAACGCAAAAGTAGTCCTCAAATATATTCGTTTCATAACCCTTCAGCGGCTCCGTATAAAACTGGTAGAACACACACAGAACTTTAAAGTTTTATTTATCAACAGGTCAGTGCTGTTAAACCGGTGCAGCCTCAGACCTGCAAAACTGCTCCGTCATTATGCTTGTTTTTCTTTTTTGTTCCTTTCTCTAGAGTTCTTTTACAAACTTATATAACTTTATCCAGTTTGTTTGTTAAATTGTTATTATGGGGCACCAAAGCGAGCCGAGTACAAGCGAGTAGAGGTGAGCTGAGCTTGTTCCAGCAATGGGAAACAGCCACATCATCTCCAAGCCCAAACTGAGATAACCTGATGACATCACTATGACATCGTTAGGGTTATTTTTTGACAAACGACTTGACAAATCATCTCCCGACACACATAAAAACATTTTTCAACTCTCAGTGGAGATAAATGATTAATAAAGCTGTCGTCAATTGCTGTTCTGACTGATCAATTAATGAATTACTTCACCAATTATTTCAGCACTAATCGAGTCAAGCTGACACCTTTGAGAGAATGCAAGATTATTTCATTAATCAAAAAGGAGGAGAATGAAGAGACACGATGAATTATGAGACAGAACATCACAACACAGCAGACGCCTGAACGATCAGGTGTGTAGCAGAGTGAATTAATAAATAAATCCACAATTCCTCCTACGTGAAAAACACACCTGATATTTGTTTTCCTCAAGCAGCTCACAGTGGCAGTACACTGCTCAACAACATGTTCCGTAAAAGTCATCCATTAGTCACCTTTAATTGCTGCTGCACCGCAATTAATGGTACAAACCTAGAGTGTGACTATAATAATATATATATCTTTGTGTCATTATTATGTTTCCATATCATAAAAAATATATATTGTTATGAATATGAATCTTTACTAAGCTTTACAGGATAGGACAGAGGCTGTGGGTTTGATGTTCAACATGTGCTCGGGGAATCAGCTCCTCCCCAGGTGATTTCAGCAGGTGAAAACATCAGCTCTGTCCCCAAACACTCCCTCCCCTCCTGCCTTCACTCACTTCAACTGTTCCCAAGCTGCTTTACCTTACCACTTTCCTCCCTCCTATACTTCTTTTTCTAAACACTCAGTAGGTCAGCTTCATCCAAAATCTGCATTTCATGTCTACTTTCTGACCTGGTTTAGGTCACACAACCGATAACTCCCTCTCGCATAGCACAAAATGTTGATATTATCTGCGATCTGTGTAAAGCCTAGTTCACACTACGTTTGCCGGTCGGAGAGCTTGGCAAAAGTCAGGCTGTGATCAATCAGCGGTCGCCAGTCGTTATGTGTGAACTACTCAACTGCGCATCAAAACGGCT